ACACACACACACACACACACACACACACACACACACACACACACACACACACACACACACACACACACTTGCCACTGTCCTCAGAGAGACTGGGGAGAGGTCACCGGCTGCAGTGTGCGTCCTGCTGTAGAAAGAGAAGTTCTTGGGGGTGGTCTGGGAGTTTCACAGCCAAAGGTCTCACCCCATCTCAGTCTGCAGGCTGCCCCTGGGCTCTGGCAGTTCTTGCCTTCACAGTGGGTCACAGTGGTGGGCTCCCAGCTGAGTGGTGCTGCCTGGGCTAGGATAGTACGAGCCTCTGGCATGCTGGGCAGCCGTGAGTCTAGTAGGACCCTGTGTAACAGGTGCCAATGAGAGAGTGTGCTGCTTCCCAGAGTGATTCCCTTCGGGCATCTCCTCTCTTCTCCCAGTTCTGGGGGGTGGGCCGGGGGACCCTGGGAGCTGCAGTGGGGGTGGGGATGGTGTGAAGGAGAAACAGATTGTGCTCTACTGGAGGGAACCTTGGACCCTGTGGTATGTGCTTTCCCAGCCAGTGCTAATCTCTGGCTCTGTCCCCAGGGCTCCACGTGTGATGTGAATGTGAAAAATGGCAGCACCTTTGAGGGGATTTTTAAAACCCTCAGCTCTAAGGTAAGTGTCGGGGGGGATAGTGAAATGCTGGGGTCCCCGTGGCTGGCCAGTCCTCTGGGAAGCAGGAGCCAGGCTCTTGGGACAGGGCACACAGTGTCTGAGTTCCGTGGTGAACATCTGGGGTCCCCCTGGGCAGTGGCAGGCCTGGCTCTTGGGACATGGCACAGAGCATCTAAGCTCAGTGGTTAACATGTTACTCATGGGGGAATTCTGCGCCAAAAAAATTCTGTGCACAATATTTTAAAATTCTGTATATTTTATTTGTCAAAATAACACAATATGATCAAAATACCTTACCTGTCAACAATACAGACAACAGCAAAAAAGATTCCCCCAGGAGTAAATAGTTAAAGAAACCCCTACAACAACCCAGTTCCAGATTGGGGGGCTGGAGGGAGCTGTTGGGTCCCCAGAGCCCAGACACCCACACCCCCTTCCCCCCAGAACTGAACCACGGGGCAACCCCCAGCCCAGACAGCAGTCCCTCCAGAGCCTTTACTCCCCCCAACTTCTTTACTGTCCCACCGGGGCACATGTTGTGGTGCGGCCGTGCCCTTCCTTACCCTTTGCCAGAGCTGGCTGGGTTGTCCCATGCACTCTCCAGTCCCTGCAAAAATGAGGATCAAAAAGCATGCAGCTTCCAACCCAGCTGGGCTGGGCGCTCCGCTCACTGCAATCTGAGCTCTGCAGAGACCAGTGGCCTGAAATTCTGCGGGGCAAACAGGAAATTCTGCATTCTGCAGTGGCACAGAATTCCCCCAGGAGTAACCGTGGGGTCCTCCATGGTAGCGGGAGGCTGGCTCCTGGGACATGGCGCAGAGCGTCTGAGCTCTGTGGTGAACATGTGGGGTCCCCCATGGCAGTGGGAGGCCGGTTCTTGGGGCAGGGCGCAGAGCGTCTGAGCTCTGTGGTGAACATGTGGGGTCCCCCATGGCAGCGGGAGGCCGGTTCTTGGGGCAGGGGCACAATGTGCAGTAATGGTGGCTGTTTGCAGTTCGAGCTTGCTGTGGATGCGGTGCACAGGAAGACCCCAGATCAGCTGGTGGGACCTAAGCGGGAGGACATTGTGGACACCATGGTCTTCAAGCCCACCGATGTCATGCTGGTGCATTTCCGTAATGTTGATTTCAATTACGCCACCAAAGGTAATGCTGGCCCTCTAGATGGGGCCTGTTCCCGCTTGGGGCTGGGGGGTCGCCCAGAGGGGGTGGCAGACCTTATGGCCCATTGTCTGCTCCTAGACAAGTTCACGGACTCTGCCATCGCCATGAACTCCAAGGTTAACGGGGAGCACAAAGAGAAGGTGCTGCAGCGTTGGGAAGGAGGGGACAGCAACAGTGACGACTACGACCTGGAGTCTGACATGGTAAGACTTCGCTCCTCCTTGCATTCAGGGCCTGGGGTGAGGTGGGCAGGGGTTAGC